TTGAGCCACACCTCCAATCTATTTTGCTCTGGTTATTTTGTAGATGGGGTTTCATGAACTATTTGCCTGGGCTGGCCTCAAACCGTGCTCCTCCAGTTCTCAGCTTCTCAAGTAGCTAGAATTACAGGTGTGAGCCACCAGTACCCAGCTATTCATTTATTTCTTGAGATAGGGTCTCACTACATATCTCATGCTGACCTGAAATTCACTACGTAGCCCAGGCTGCGCTCAAACTTGCAATCCTCTGGCCTTTACCTCATGAGTGTGATATTACAGGCATGCACCACCACCTCTGGCTTAAGTTCTTAGAATTTTAGAGGAAAGATGATACCTTCCCACTGTACCCCTTGCACCCCCCTAAAAAGTCTTACAGAAACATTGGCAAAAAATAAATGTTAAGAACATATGATAGATATTGGAGAAATTGCTCAGAGATTATATGACAAAAAAGCAAAGGGCTTCAAATCATGCAAGAAAATATAGGAAAGAAAAGCCAAGAGGCTAAAAATATAATTAAAGAAAGAGAGGACAGGGAAAGGGGAGGAGTGGGTAAGTAGGTATTATTAAAAAAAAAAAAAGGAAAATTTTTCTGCCCTGAAGGTCATGATCCTTCAGATTGATAGTGAATTTTTACACAGAGTGCACACTCTGATGTTTCAGAAGTTATCATCAGAGAATTCTGTAACATCAAGGGTAAAATTAGGTCACAGAAAATATTTCCGAAAATAATTTCCTATTCAAAATTCCCTTTCTGGTTGCATTATTCGTATGTGAGAGCTTCAAATGGACTTTCTCCCAATTTTACCTCCTGAGTGTTCCTTTTCAGGAACTTGGAGTGAAGGAACTGAGAGAAGGGCGTGGAATCCAGGAGTCAAGTCTTCTAGACGACTACACTCTACTGTGTCCAGAGACAAAGGACTCTGAGAGTCCATCCTCAGAGAGAAGAGGGAGCCAGTGAGGACAGACATCTCAGACAAGGATGAGTCGGTGACTCATCCCCGTAGTTACAAGGGGAGACTATTTGGCTCTGCAAGACAGCATACTCTCAGAGAAGAAAAGCTCCCAAGGACTCTTGCTTTAAACCAAAATAAAACTTACTTATCAAGTTTTCTGGTTTATTATTTATTATTAAACTTTTAATCAGGATTTATAAAGCATTCTGAAATCTTTAGTTGGGGATTTCAAAATTTAGGTCGATGATTTCCATGTTTAGAGAGAGAAAAATTGTATTAGTCGAGCCCAAAGGACATGCAACATTTCTAATCAGTTTATTTGTTTGGGAACATTTCGAGTAATGGCTAGCACAGCTTTTACTGGATTTAAATAATATTCTGGTCATCATCTCATAGTAATTATTGCATGGGAAGAAAATTACTTATTGCAAGGCCTACCAGGCAGTGGCAAGATACATTGTGCTGAACAGATACTGTACTGCAGACGGGCAGCTGGGTTTTTTTCGGTATGTATGTTTATGTGTGGAATGTAAATGCATGTAAGTACCTCAATTCTTACATTTTAATATTGTTCAAACAGTTTGCCAAGATCTACTCAGTAAATAATTTATAGTTTTGCAAGATCATTTCTTTCTTTTAGACTTCAATTATTTATAATTTGGCATTTTTTATATCATTAAGTCCTTCTCGATATATAACTATGTCATATCTAAAATCTAGTTTATATAACATGCTTTAGTCTTTTAAAAAGATCACTAAAATTATTTTCTTTAAATTTTATATGTGTTTCCAACACATCCTAGTATATAAATATGTAGGGAATAACTCAAAGGAGAGCCCCACTCTTCCTTCCCTATAATATTTTCCCCAATGGATACTTTTTCCTATGCATGAGCTTAGAGGCAGAAAACAGAGTGTGACAGAAGTACTGTCTGTCACTAGTGGGGCTGAATTCTGTATTAGGTCTGCTGGAAAAGTGCAAAGGAAATAGAGGCAGAGTTGCTGCACTGCAGTCACAGTTTGATTTAATTCGTGCATAATTCTCCAAAGGATTTGTACAGCTCCTTGTGACAAAAGAAGTGAACCAAGCCTTTTTTTTCTTCTCTGCTCCACTGTCCAGAGTCATTGGCTCCTTTGCTGCTCATCTAGTAAGTTTGAATGATGTGTACACATTGGTTAGGGACATCTCTTTAAACAGCAGCCAGTATCACACAGATACACCCACCATTCAGAGCAGGGCCTGACAAGACAATGAGTGTTGGTGAAGAAGCATTAACATGGCTTAACACAGCACCTGCTACCTGTAGAAATTCAGAAATGCTTGAGAGAGCCATAAATACAGAAATGAATGAAGTGCCGGGACTCACACAGGAAGGCTTACTAGACTAAAGAGATATGCACAGAGACAAGTGCCTCAGAGAAGGAATGGAAAGAGAATAAAGGCAAGAGAAATGGAGGCTCTGATGACCTTGAGGTTGAACTCTGTTGGCTGAACTGAAGACAGGATTCCCAGAGCACTGGCAGATGACCATGGGCCAGGGCAGAAGATGAAAGTGTCCTTCTAGGGCTCTCTGAACTACATTCACTTTGCCTCATCTTACTTTTGGTTATAGTGGGGTCAGCTTTCACTAGGTTGCATCATCTAAACAGAAATCAGCTGGGTCCCACAGGTTTCCAGGAACCTTCAGATTTCCATCACTGTGGGACTTTAGTAGACATTGTTACTACAGACTATCTCACAGGAACTGTTCTTCTGTCCTGGAACAAACTCTTAGGTTCTGTCTTCCAATTTTCTCCTCTAGGGTAGTAGCTTGGTCAAGGTATTTGCTTATTTTGAGTAGTGTCCAGTATGGTAACAACACACACTGTAACCTTCAACTTGGCAAAGTGTTCTGACAACGTGTCTGTCTTTGGAGAAAGGGAAATTCCTGGCAGAAATTCAGCCAAGTACAATAAGACCTCTGGAAAGACCTGAGAATATCTACTGTTAGCAACCTGTGATATTCTTAATTGACTCATTTTCACTGCAGAAAACAGAATTTTTTAGAGGAAGGAAGGTGTAGAGAGCACTGGCCACCAGCACAAACTGATGCAAAAACAATGGGTCATGACACAACTTTGTTATTCTTGGGAGAAGCAGAATAAGAGGTGAAGGTCCTCTCTCTGTAAATCAATTACTTGAATGCTTTATACAGCCCAGCCTTCACTAGGAAGGGAATCATCTGGACCTTTTGGAGAGGTTGTTTGCCCTTGATTTCCAAATGGGGATCGCACAGAAATTTTGCCACTGCCCAGGTATAAGGTGGGGGAACTCCCAGGATCTGTCAGGAGCAGGTGTGGAGTGGGGTAGCTGCCATCAGCAACTTACTACCTACTTTAATGTGACAGCAGCTCAGCAGGTGCTATGTGACAGGGTCATTGCACTTCCTTCCTCTTTAAAGCCATCCATTATCTCAAACTTTCACATGTGGTTGAGCTTCTTTGACAATGAGATGAACAGCCATTGAGGTGGCTTCCAGACAAAGATTTTGTGTTGCAGCAAATACAAACTTCAGTAAAATCCAGTTCTTTGCCAAGCATGAAATGGATGCACACGCTGTATGCAGAAGGCATTCTGCTCTGCTTATCTTCGGTTCCATTGACTTTCGGCATCCCGTGTCAAGGTCTTCAGGCACAGAAACATCTTGTTTTCATCACACACTGAGTTATTTCTCCAGGCAAATACAAACTTTTGGGGCTTCATAACCACAGAGGCAGGGGGTATCTTCAGTTATGTAACTCACCTCAAAATGATCCCAGGAGTCACAATATTAAGATAATAATCATTTTACCTTGCCTGGCCCCTGCTAGCTCAGTGTGAAACATTACCTTAATAACACTGTAACCCTTAACAATTATTTCTTCCACAGAGACAATTTTCCACTTACAGAATGAAAAAGAGAGAGAAAGAAAACAATCTGGATCTAGTCCTAACACAGCTACAGGTGAGAAAGAGAAGCAACAATAACGTAAAGGAAATACATGCAAACCGGGAGTCTTGATCCAGGATGAATAAATATTTATGATTCTCTGGCTTAAGGAATGTATTTTCTTAAATAAACAAATTTTCATCTACTTTATCTGTATACATACAAAGAAGTTTTAGAGTTGGGACAGAAGGTCAAAGGATTGTGAATAATTAAAGAAGCTTTGGGGGAAAGATCTGTTTGCAATTCATTTGCTAAACACTTGTTTATAGGTATATTTTGATGAACCAGAAATCAACCATCACTTAGAACAGCAGTGAGCACAATCAAGAGGAAGAGTCATAAGAACAATCCAGAAAGAATCCCTTACTGGGGGATACCTATGTCATTAGCACTCCAACAAGTAAAACTGCATACTTAAAAAGTGAAGAATGACAGCCAGTAATGCTTATTGTGTCCACATTTATTCCAAGAAAGTTTTGTGCCAAATGCTATATGTGTTCTCACTCATTCAGCCCTCGTGAACCTATGAGGCGCCATAATTATCTCCATTTTACCACACCCCACCATTCCAGGATCCTGGAAAGGCTGTTTCTTATGTAACCTTTCAAAGAATTCCTTAATATGCAGTAACATACCTTGAGTAGCCATAAATATTTTACTCAGTAAGTTAACTGCTAGGTACGATAAGCTCTCTATTGTTAGCCACACTTATTACTGATAACTCAACTACCTTGTCTTTTTGTCAATTATTTTTAATGTTATCCTAATGAGGGCCTCCGGGAATTATAGGATGTTGAACTGCGTCTAAGTCAACTGGTCAGGACTGAAATACAATCACAGAATTTTAGAGAGGGCTACATTTGGATCTGAATTATTTTAATACTATCAATCCAGATATGTTACATTTGGTATTGTTTTATTCACTTATTTATTCATTTAAAAACACAAAGTGAGAATGCGTATGTTATTAGCACAGACAGGCTGTGGGCTATAGTATTTGGCTCACATATTTGCTACTGGGCTGGATACTGGGACATTTATCCCAACATAAAATGAATAACTTAGCAATGATTCTAACCTGTGACCAGTTCCCGGATCTCCAGGTCAGTGGTCTTGCGAAGCAACCTCACCAGCGCTGGGATGCCTCCACAGTTCTTCAGGGCAATTTTGTTATCATCATTGGCCTTCCCATACACCAAGTTTCTCAACGCTCCACAGGCACTCCGGTGGACTTCGGTCATCCGGTGATCCAGCAGGTCCACCAGGAGCTGTATGCCTCCTTGTCTCCTTATCTGGAAGAATAAAGGGCACAGCTTTGGTCACAGAGAGCAAAGTTTCACTATTAAGCCAAAACATAGTTTTCACGTGAAGAACCAGGTACAGTTAACTGCATTGAACTGAATCAAAATAAGGGAAAAGAAAGCAATTAAGTATCCCCCTTAGATCTCATTGCCTGTACTTGTTTGAATATCCTAGCAATAAAAATTTAAATGTATTTGTTTCAAGCAATAGAATTTTGGAAAGGTGATTTTAACATCATAATGGGTGTCTCAGACATTTTCTGTTTAAAAATGTACGACATACTCATAGTATGAAGCAGATGGAGAGGCAAAGCCCTCTCAGAAGGAATGGCCCCTTTCCTTAGATTTCTTAAATGCAGCCACTGTCTTGAAGGGCAGCAGGACTGATGTATTAAATGTTAAAATTATACTATTTTATAGGGAAAAACTCCAAACACTTCAAAGGAATCAGGAGCTAAACAAGAAACTAGAAGAGCTGACACAAAGACTTTTATCTTTGAAGATCTGGGACCATAAGAATGTTCCTCACAGTGAGAGGCAGAACATATCAAGGTGTGCTACGCTCACCTTAGAAATGCGATTAACAAAACAGTAAAGGCCACGGTAAATTTTACTGTTCTTTTCACTTAAATGAAAGTTTTAGTCTTTTACAAATTCAAAACAATTTTTGCAATGTGGTTCTAATCGCATGTCTTCCTTGCTGTCCTTTGGGGTTGGGGTTGCTTTTAAAGCTTAAACTGGAGAGAAAACAACATGACTAGTTCATACGCAGTCTGTCTCATGAAGCTTTCACTAGGAAAGCTGCATCTGAACATTTCTGCACTCAGATGGAAAATAACATGATCTGCTTTCTTAAAACTTGAGTGATCTCCAGGGATAGAAGGATTGGCACCTTCTCTGTTTGATTTTCTTTTTATGGTAAATTCTGTCATCTACATATGTGCCAGGACAAAGGGCTATATCCCCCAATTGTCTTAGTGGCACTCAGTGCTGCCTTCTCCAGGAAGTGACATGAACCACCCTGGCCAGCCCAGTGCTCTTGCTGTAACTTCATCAGCTACAGACTCATCAGAGTTCTTGTCATGTTCTGGTTTATTTGTTGTGTTCATTGCTATTGTCTATCTTCTCTTTGAATATTCTGGGAGAGCTGTTCTCTTTAGCATACTATATATTCTTATCCCTATCCCAAGTACAATGTCAAGCATATAGGATTTGCTCACTAAATATTTGTTGAATGAAAGAGGAGGGTTAATATATTACTTGCTCTATCAGAGTTTTACAAATTTGCCAAAGCAGTGCTTTTCAAAATTGAGAAATATTCCTCTTGAGAGGGAGTGACATTTTCTGAATAGCCAAGATGTATTCGGGGGTCTTCAGTGGCAGATTACTTCACCAGCTTATAAACAAAATGACAGGGTGTCTCATGAATGTGAATGTAGGATGGACCACTGATGACTAAGAATATGCCTATGAGAAGTATTTGCATTCATTGACAAAATGAAAGCAGAAAGGAGGAAAGCCTCACAGAACTCTTGCACTCTAAAACCTTTACTGTGGGAATGCAAATGGAGTGTGCATTGTGCCTCCCACTGGAAAAGCATCCAGGCAGAAAGAGAGAAGGCCTCAGTGCACAGCACTGCTGAGCAAGCTGTTTGCTCCCTGTGTTAGCTGCACAGCCTGCAGGTGTCTAGGACACCTGGGTAGGTGGTTCAAGTGATCAGTGGATCAAGTTTAAAAAGAGAAAGAGCTGCTCCATACAACTTAGCCTAGCTTTCAATTTTACCCAGGGTTTGCTTGACACCCACTCAAGGGAGATGGAGTTCGTACTGAGATATATGTGATACCAACCAGAAGTGGGTCTTGCACACATATCTGGATTCTCTCCACACCCACTTAGTATAGCACCTCAGAGAGGATATTCCCTTTGTACAGGAAGGTTTGACTGTGAATGCCAGATTTTTCCTTATTGTGTATTTGCCTGTGTTCACGTTAAAATTCTCTGGGTTTGAATGGGAGACAAGGCTCAAGGGGTAGAACCCCTGCCTAGAAAGAACAAGGCCCTTAGCTCAGCACCCAAAGCTGCCAAAAAAACCCCCAAAATTCTTATTCTTCAATTTTTCTTTTCTTTTCCCTCCCTCCTTTCCTTCCTTCCTTTATTTCTCTCTGCAGCACTGGGGTTTGAAATTGGCCTCATACTTGCTAGAGAGATGCTCTACCACTTGATCCTCTCTTCCAGCCCTTTTTGCTTAATTATTTTTCACATGTCTTGCTGAGGCTGGCCTCGCACATGACATCCTTCTACCTGAAGCCTCATGCATCTCTGGAATTACAGGGCATGCCAGCTTGTTGGTTGAGGGTTGAGATGGCATTGCACTAACTTTTCCCCCTGGACTCAACTTAAACAGCAATCCTCCCTATCTCTTCTGCTGAGTAGCTGGAATTAGAAGCATGTACTACTACACTGGACTGGGTTTAATATCTGAAGAATGATAAAGCCATTAAGAAAGAGTTAATAAATCTGTTCTAACAGTGAACCCACTAGTTATATATTAAAAGCAGGAGTAAATCGATCAAGTTAGTCCATACCTATATATTTTAGTTATCCTGATTATTATAATTAATATTCTTAATTTATAACACATTTCCCATTTATGTTACATAATAAATTAATATACTAAAAATGATTTCAACTCCTTAAAAAAGAAAACAAATTCAAGATGCATGCACTAGGAACCCCCAAGAGTGTAATCAGAATACAATATTTTCAGCATGACTCTAAAACGTGTCATATACCCACGTTTATAAAGAGAACGAAAGTTCTGTTTTAATCTATTTAGCAAAACACAAATAGGACAATAGCCTTTTCCTCTTGCGGTTATTTGGAGTCAGTAGAACATCCAAATGAAAAGCTTGTTTTCTTGAGGCTGACTTTGTCGAAGAACCCCACTTCAGTTTTCCGAAGCCTAGCAGTAGTGAGAGCTGCTATTGAAATATTCACATGTGAGAAATGGGAAGGCCGGGCCTTGGTTCTTCCTGCTCCTCCTCCCTCCTCCCTCTCCCAACAGGACCAGAGAGAATGAATCCCTGACCTAGACGTTCCATCCTCAGCCCTCTGAGGGCTTCGTGTCCTGGTGCTGCCCCCTTCAGTTCCCACCTGCTGGGCATCTCTCCTGGATCCTGACTTCCTCCAATTTCTGGCACCCAGTCTTTCCAGTTTCTTCTTGTACCTAACCTGAAACCCTTTTAAGCCTCTGAATACACCTATTTTAGACACTAATAATGTACAGCATTTTGAGAAATGATCAGGAAAAGCTGTCCTCTTTTGAAGTGGCTCCATCTCCCTCCCACTAAATGGGGAGCAATCTGTTTCTACTTTTTCACCCATGGACTGCTCCAGGCCAGCGGGCTGAGCTCAGGTTCTGTCCACACTCTGTTAATAATGGTCAGTTCACCCTCTCACCTTACTCCCTTAGTCATCTTCATGCAGAAATCTTTAAAAGTAAAGGCTCAAAAGACTCTAGGTAGAATATTATTAAAATAAAGTCAACCAAATGCTAGTTAATATATAATAAGTAAGCAATAGAATAAAATGCACTAGAAGAAAGTCTGTCACAGAGGTAAGTGCATATTCAGTAAATCGATGAGGGAATAATGTAGATGGTTGTCACATGTTAGTTTTTCCTTCCCTCCTCCCTTCCTCCTTTTCTAAGCTATTTTTCAATAGACATTTTTGGTTTTGGAGTTTGAACTTAGGGCCTTGTGCTTGCAAGATAGGTGCTCTACCACTTGAGCCATGGCCCCCAATCCTTTTAGCTTTTGTTATTTTTAAAATAGGGTCTCACATTTATGACTGGGCTGGCTTGGGACATTATCTTCCTATTTACATTTTCTCTGCAGCTGGAGTGACAGGTGTGTTCCACCATGCTTAGTTTTTATAGGTCAAGATGGGGTCTTGTGAATTTTTTGCCCAGACTGGCCTTGAACCACCATCCTCTTGAGTAGCTGTGATCGCAGGAGTGAACTACCATTCCTGGCTTAATAGACTTTTTTAAAGAGAAATTTTAGGTTTGTAGCAAAACTGAACAGAAAGCACAAAATTCTCATTACTCCTTACCTTCACACAGGCAAGCCTCCCTCACTGCCAGTGTTCTGTACCTAGTGGTACATTTGCCTAAAGGTACACTGACATTGTTACGGTTCAGAGCCCATAGTGTTCATGATCAAACCTCACCATAGGGTTCATTTTCAGTGTTGTGCAGTCCACGGGTCTTGATAAATACAGAACGACATGTATCCACCCTTACAGTGTTGGGAAGCGGAGTTCTGCTGCCCTAAAACTGCATTCTTCCTGTTCTCTCCACCCTGCTGCCCCAAATGCTGACAGCCACAGGTCTTTTTTACGTCTCTGTGATTTTGCCTTTTCTAGAATGTCAAGTAGTTGGAATCAGTTAGTTCCTACTCTTTTTCAGACTGGCTTCTTTCTCTTTATAGTATACCATGTCTTTTCACGGCTTAATATTTCATTTCTTTGTAGCACTGAATAATACTCCATTTTCTGGATATATTAGTTTATCTGTCCACTCATCTACTAAAACCTATCTTGATTGCTTCCAACTTTATGCAATTGCATACAATGCTGCTATAAACATCTCTCTCTCTCTTCTTCCCCTCCTCTCTCTTTCTGTCTCTCTCTCTTTCTCTGTTTTTTTGAGACAGGGTCTCTCTATGTAGCCCAAGCTAGAGATCTTCTACCTCAGTCTCCCAAAAACTGGATATAGGCATGTACCACCATGCTAGTCTCTAGGGACAGCATTTTTTTCTTTTTCCTTTTTTTTTGTGTGTGTGTGAAACTGGGTTTTGAACTCAGGGCTTTGGAAAGCAGGCACTCTACTGCCTGAGGTACGCCTCCCATCCATTTTGCTCTGGTTATTTTGGGTATGGGGTCTCCCAAACTATTAGTCTGAGCTGGCCTTGAACCACAAACCTCCTGA